GGGAGAATGGGTGCAAACTACTCATGAGACCTAGCTCCCAAATAAGAGGAAATAACTGTGATTGCTAAAACAGATAATGTAAAGAACTTTTCCAAAGAAGCCCTACAAATCTTTCATGGTTTGAGACTGCCTTGTGGTAAGCCTGCTGCTAGTCATGTGAAGCTGACAGCACCCATGGTCCTTTCGGGCTGCCACTGGCATGACCTTCAGCGTGCTGGTGGTGGAAGCTGCCACGGGGCTGCGTGCCTTCTGGGTGACTGGAGCTGGAGCAACAGCTTCACATCGTATGACTTAGACGCCTGGCCAGAAAAAGGTTTCTTGATTTAGCTTTCTCTTTAGCAGATGTCTCATATTTGCCTGAGAAATTTGCCCCTCTGCTGGGTATTATTTTGGTTGTGGCCTGCCTTTGCCTTTCCATACCTGCCAGCGATGCAATGTCTCCTATGTCAGCATAGAGTGCGAGAAGAAAGACATTCCTAGGAACTGCAGAATATTAGCGAAGTGGAAATTCCCTCTTTACAGTTTTGTAACACAAACCAGCATTTCTACATGGTGACTGTTTATGATGGAGTAATAGGTAATGTTAGGGTTGGCTTGGTTGGCAATCTTTCTGGTAACTAATATATGTGTAAATGTTTTCCTTGCTATAAGGGCTGTTGCTGTGTTCAAATTGTAGTTGCAAAGGCAGCTTAATGAGAGCATTAAGGAAAGAAGCTTATTCACAGCATTAACATTAGCTGAAACAACGACGTGTTAGCCTGCAATGGCTTGTACAATGGCATGGATAGACAGAGGAACTGTGCATTTTTAAGCAATGAATTGTTTAGTTTTTAATGCTTTGTATATTTGCTTAACTTAGATGCGTCGCTAATTATTTGTTCGCATAGCAGAATAAAAAGAGCTACTTGAGGATGACGCCTGATAAAACAGACCCTAGAAAACAAGTTGCTGTGCTGAGGTAAGAAAGCAGTCATGGAAGCAGAGTGAACATAGGACACTGGGTCTGCAAATAGGGATGGCGGAAGAGACGAGACTTCTGCCACTGCCCACTCCCAATACAAAATGTGATGAAGTTTTAACAACCATCAAGGATTTATTTTCTGTCTGTAATCTCCAGAAGTTGAATACTGTCGTCCTATCAAAATATTGCCTCCATTAAAACTTGCAAGATTAGATGCTGGACCCAAATGAACTACAGGCAAACAGTATGCAAACAAAGTGTATTCAAAGCATAGTGACCCTTTTGGAAAGATTCAGAAGTGTGGTCTTAAATTTGTTGCTTACACTGAAACTGGCAAACCAAGGTAGATCTCAGAGACGTTGTTTTAGTAAGTTGCCTCTTGTTCATAGGTCTCCACCTCAGATTGTACTTAATTATGTAGTATCTGGTTACTTTCACAGGTTGCTCTGGTGTTCTAACATGAATTTTCCACATTTAATAAGAGTCATCGGGGGGTCATCTCAGCCTTTTAGCAGCTCAGAGGAAACCAAAATGAATTGTGGTCACTTCATTTCCCCTCCCCCCGTGCTCAACCCCTTGAGTCTACAGAAATGCGCGAGGACTCACTTGCTCTTTATTTCATCAGCAATTTGAACTTTTAGTGACATCTTGCTTTAAAGTCAGTCGTATGTTGACCAAGAGTTACAATTATCAGCTCGAATGGAGATAGAAAAATAATGTCCTCAGCATCAAAATATGTTTTCTTAAATGATAATTAGCGTCTCCATGGGTGGATTGTTTCATGATTTAACATAATATGAATTATTTTTCTTTACATAAACAAGACGAGGCACTGTGACCAGAAGGACCTCTGCCATTTCAAATTAGTTAAGGCACCAGTATTAATTCTAAATTAGCTAAGTATGTGAAGAAAAGTGATCAAACAAAATTTGTCATTTATGCTGGTAAAAAAAAGCACATTCCTATTTTATTTTTTTAACTCTCTGCTTCATACAGTAATGTCCAGCAACACATTATGGTTAAAAATCCTTCCCATGATTGTATTATATAAATGAGGATGTGTTTTCATCTGAGTTATACATGATTGCACCACTTCATATGAATGAGAAACAGGGTGAAAGTTCTGTGTTGTCATTCAAAGTAAGAAATGTTTTGAAATAATGTGCATTGCAAGGGAAATAGATTTTTATTTATTTTCCCATTATCTCGGATTTTAGGATGCTGAAAAGTTTAGTGTGTGCTAACTTAGACTACACTTGTCAAACGAAGGCAACGGCAAAACGAACAGCTGATGAAATGCTGGACACCCCTGGGACATCCCAGGCTAGTGCAGGGAAGTCTTAATTCACAGAAATGAGGGATGGGCTCAAAAAGGTCCAAGACTTCAGAGGTCATTACCTCATTGCAGCTAACGCTGTGTTGATCAGAATGCCATCCAGGCCTCAAAGCAAGAGTTAAGCACACAACTCGCTCGTCTCTTGACATTTAAATTTTCTTCCTTTTGAGAACTTGCAAGGTGGGAACCAAAATAAATGTTTTCCATGTTTCAAATCTAAAACTCACAGAATATTTTTCTTCATCCTGTGAAGTTAATCACATTTGTCATCAAGTCTTTAAGACTGTATCTGGTTTTTTTCCTACTTTACCCTCTGGTTCAGTAGACAGTAATAGAAAGCACACGACTTTGTGATGACCTGCCCTCACAACAGGTGGGACAGAAATCTAGGCCAGAGCCTACGCAGCATCTGTAGCTACACAACACTGTTGTTAGCTCTCAAAATCCTACACAGGACAAGGCGGCATTTAATAAAAATCAGCAGCTCAGCGTTACTAGCTTCTAAAACTCCAGACTGGAGACAAATCTGGTAATATTTTTACACATAAACTGAACAAGATATTCTTCGAAATCACTAAATAAAGGCAGAATTTGGGATATAAAGAAACTTTTATTTTTTTTAATTGAACTTCAGCTTTACACTTAAGTGATATTTTCAGGACAAAATGCCATAGAATTTCCTACAGTGAAAGGACACTTGAAAAAAGTAAAAAAAAAAACACCCCCAAAAACTAGGAATTAAAATAATGCTTATATAAACATTTCTTTTGTGCATTAGTACACTGTAACTCTGAAAAAGAACGTTTCAGAACACTATATACCACTACTACTAGCATTTTCATATTTGTGGAAAGACTTTCTTCTGAAGTTATCCTTCACTCTTCCAAGCTACATATATTTAGTTAAAATTACATCCTTTAATAAACAGGCATATTAAACTCTTTAAATTTTTTCTCCATTCAGCTTTACAACATTGTGCCAGAGCAGAGAATGTTCCAGGCTCAGATTAGCTCAGGTCCCTCCGCTGAACTTCTTCAGCCTTATGATGTAAACAGACTTAAAAGGTTTAAATCATAGCGAGACTGTTCTTCCCTCTGCAAAACATAAACTAGCATCATCTCATTCTTGAAATTGCTAATTAGCTGTGATTACTAAGCAACTCCCAGCTATACAAGACCAAATTTTAAAAGTAGTCAGTGGCTTAGAAGAGACCTAAGTACACAGATTTTTAAAACCAATATCTGAACTAATGGGTGCTTAGCATCCAATGAAACGGCCATTAGAGTACTTCGGTACCTACTGATTTCAGAGTCATCTAGCCTTAGAATTTAGTTCTCATTTCCCAGATGTTCCCTTGAAAATGAAACTGTGAAAACGTTCAGCTAAGTGAAACCAGGCAGTGAACAAAGGCAGAATAATTTTTTGTCTCCCTGAATCAGCCACTACGTGTGCTGCGGTTCTCACCACAGGACAGTAGTGCCCGTTGTCCTGCTGGTCCGCAGGCACAGCTGTTCTTCACTGGAGGGAGAAGGTGCCGCAGACATCACTTCAGAATCTCACCGTCCCACAAATCAAGCTTGAAGGAGCCTCCTAGATAAACTGTTGTGACTAAAGCATAATGAAAGGGCCTCTCCAGCACAGCATTTCAGCTCTCTCACCATATTTAAATATCTGTAATACCCTCTAGGGAATGATGCTGTATGCGAGTATACATAAAAATGGATAGAATGCATTACTTCTTCAGCCCATTCTGTTTGTGTTCTTCCCTCTTCAGGTGCTAAAGCTGTGCTATCTCTATTTCTAGATAACCTGTGGCATGGATTGTAACATGTTCAACTAAATACTTAAAAAATAAAACCAGGTATGCGTTAATTACATGAAGACTTTTTTCAATTTAACAGCAGACAAATCAGATACAATTGCTAAGAAAAAAATTGTGGATTGCAGCACATAAATTTAATAAAATTTATTTTTAGAGACTTATTCCAGTGAAGAAAATATACTTTTTAGGGTTTCAACATTCAATATTGTATAGGATTACAGTAAGGCACTCTGAAATTGCATGTGGAAATCAAAGCTCTCCCTTTGTCTAGGAATCAATGAAGTGACTGTACAGAATATTCTCCCCATGCAATTATCCCAACTTCTGAAGCTATAACAAGAATATCTGCTAATGGAATGGTAGTTAAATTTCAAAAGGAAAACAATTGTTCCATGTTTAGTTTCTGTCAGTGGCATCTGTGTTATCCTCATTCATAGATTTTTTATTATATAAAATTAGGATACAATGGAAACCCAAGCTGTGACTGCAAAACAGAATGTGTTTTCCCTCCTACTGGTGCTGGCTCTGAAGATCTAAGAAAATAAAGTATGGGAAATGAGAGAAAATACAACCTCTAGGTAACAAGATCTGATCCAAAGTTTGCTAAAAGTCAGTGGCAGTCTGTTGATTTCAGAGTTCTTACAGAGTAAAAAAATGCCCCATTTATATTGTCCAGAGTGTAACAGAAAAAACTAAATGTATTGATTTTAAAATACTCTCTCAAATATAAAACTAAAATAGACTTGAGTTAAAGGGCTATCTAGAAGCTACAACTCCTGCTCTTTGATACCCTTTCTCTCCAGTAAGAAAGTGTTATCTAGGAGCAAAGTAAAAGCTCTCAGAACACTTCTTTTCAATAATACATCACTGTATTAGTTTTGCTATCCTTCCGTATTCCTCATAGGTCTCATTTTCAAAAGGAGAAACATGTCAACAAATTTCTTGTTATTTAGGATGGTAAGAAATTGAGAGCTGTTCTGGGGTATGGTGCACAATCAGAAATCTGTATCTTCAGCTTGGGTAAACTTTCCAAAACTGTTTCTATTTGTCTAATATGGAAAAAAAATCAATTTTTTTGACACTGCCTAATTTTGTTTAGCAAGCATATCTAGCAGGTCCTTCTCTATGCCTCGGCTGCTCAGTTCATGTAAGCTGCAGTATCTATGAACAATCTTTTCATCTGTGACAACAACCACTCGAAGGCCATGCGTATCTTCTCCCAGCTGACATCCTATTGCTGATGAAACCACCATTTCCAGTCCTTTGTAGGACCCTCCAGCATTTCTGTGGTAATGTCCAGAAAATACAGCTTTAATGCCTGTTAAAAAAAAAAAAAAAAAAGAGAGTATGTATCTAGTCAATAGTTGCAATTTATGTATAAAATGTGTTTACAGTAGAAGATACTGCTGAGGTTGTACGCCAAGGCTTACATAGCTGCTGAGGTTGTAGAGAAAGTTCTACAGCAAGTACAGCTACAGGTGTCATGTTTACCTTCATTCTTTAATGGTTCATAAAGCGTAGCATTAAAAGTAAACCATTTACCTGAACTTGCATTTTAAACAAATAATTAGTAAACAGGAATAAATAACAATAATAGTAAAAAATAATAAATAGTCAAAATTTCATTCTGCTCAATTAGCTCTGTTTAGGGTGTCTGGGTTCTGCCTTCTTTACGCTTACTGCAAGGTGTGTTTGTCATCTTGCTAATCCTTTGGCCAGAAAGAAGGAACACTTAGAGGAAGCTGATTAAAATTAGAAAAAAAAATCAGTAATAGATAATATGAGTTGAAAGCCAAGGATTGTGGAGCTGTATTTGTCAATTAACATGCAGAAAATTCTCTAAGGAGACAGCTTTATCCTGTTTACCCAAGGCTGGTGACCTTAAAAGAAAAAAAAAAAGGGCAAGAGAAACAAATCAAAACCAAATGAGAAGATAATTTGTAATCTTTTCTCAAAGACATTGGGGGGGTTATCACAGATGGAATAGAACCAGGTACATCAAAGAAACCTAATAAGCAGAAGAAGCTGTGAGTTATAATAAGGAGAGAAGAAAGATAACAGCAGCCAAAAAAGGAAAGGTTGACAACCTGCAAGAGGAGTCAGGCTTGGTAATGACATGAATTAACATTGACCTAGTATGGGGTACAAACAAGGCAGGTTTATTCTGATTTCCTCTGTATTTTTAATGACTTAAGGCTGTTCTGTTTCTTTCTTTTTTTTTAAATAGACTATTTATATTTTGGACTGTATTGGGGTACAATATCACTCCATTTTAAACTTGAAAGAAATACATTTGATCTGTTGCAGGAGACAACAATATGCTATACCGAAAATTTCTGCGTACGTCGCATGCAAGTATCACCCAAGCTTGGTCAGGAGTAGGAGAACAGCTAAATGACAAGCAGCAGCAGGTAGAGAGGACAAACATACTTGATACTTCAGGCTTTATAATGTACTTTAACATACGTGGCTGAAGCATTGTCTAACTGATTAGCTAAATGAGTGTTTGAAGAAGTCCAACCATTCTTCCCCTTCTCTCAGAATACAATAATTTAACAAAAATTGATTAAGTTTGCAAATGCTGTCTGATATTGTCTAACTTCTATAGATGATCCATGTGCCATGTCTACTTTCCTGTCATGCCTCTCAGTAGCTAGGGGATTTTTGCAGAAATTTTTAAACAATTTCAGTATTGTCATACTCACCACCAAAGCAGTAATTTCTACTTTTCGTTTCTTGTGACTTGCAAATATAAACAAATAAACGGTAGAAGCTGTATTTACTGCTCTGAATGGCCTTTCTTACTGTCTGTACAGGCCAAATTCATGCTACCAAATAGATCGTTTTCCCCTTGCCATTTGATGCTTTATAAATTTTAATCAAATGTTTTTATTACTACAAAATAACAAAATCTTATTTAGTCTCATGAGTCAAAAAGTAAAGAAAAAGCCAAAGTTTGTAACACCAGTGAGTTGAGAACGTAGCTTCTTCCTGTGAGAGAACACGCTCTCCATAGACAAACAGCTCATTTCCAGGCTATGCCAGCGTCCTTCACCATTTCGCCAGTCTGCGCACTGTTGATAGATACAGCTGAGCGTCGCAGTCAACAGCATTCATAGTTTGGCAAAAACTATTCATCAGCCTTCTTGTTAATTTAAGATAGGGCATACTTGATTTTGAATAAAAATGTGGAGTTACTATAAACAGATAATTTTACAGACAGGTTTGGGGATTAATTTTTGGCATGCTCAGTCTAAGATCCTTGGATTACAGCTTCCTGAAGATGCATCTAGTGCTGTTTTATACTGTTGTGAAACAGAAAAATTACTGTAGCAGATGGCTGAAAATACTGGGAATTATGTTGTTTATCATCAAGTGCAAAACATGTAAATTGTATTTTGTTACAGAAAGTGTTTAGGTCTGGTATTGATTTATGATACTATTAATGACAAGTCAAAAATTTTCAAATGCACCTAAAGGATGTAGGTGTAATTTCTCTATTGAAATAAAATATGTCATAATGACACTCTGATGGTTCTACGCAGAGCATCTGGATATTAAGTTAATACTGAGTGACTCAAAAACTATGACTAGATAGCCCGCGGATTATCAAATTAACTGGCTGCTTTATGGAAGTGAATCTTTCCTATTGCTATACTGGCCAAAATCTTGCTGTGCTATACCAGAGAAGCACTCTGCTGGCACTATTCTATAGACGGTGTACCCCGCTGACTGTACTTTGTGCTTCTGTTGAACCATGCACTGAGGGCGCAGGTCTGGGGAGGACGGCGGCATGGGGTGACGCTCCGCAGGTGCGCGCCGGGCACTGTGCGAGATGCCCCAACGGCTCTCCCTGCGCTACACGCAGCAGGGCCTTGCTCACCGCCCAGGCCAGCGGCTATCTGTGAACATGCAGCACTCAGCATTACCTTTCCCACCACCATTGCTGTCATTACAGAGGAATCAGCAGGCCTGCAAAGATACACGGGGATGGACACTGTGACTGACAGCACCAAACCTCCTTTGTTACTGTTCCTGTGTTCCAGCCATCTGCCATTCCATGCTTAACACAAAAGGTAACATATGCTTGGTCCTGTTTAAGTGGTAGGCCAGAGAATGCGTAATACTATAACCTTAAATGGTGTTTTTTTTAAAAAAAAAACTAGCAACAACTGATTTTGCCTTCAGCCAGCAGAAATTCTGGAAAAGGGCAGAGGCAATTTAAAGGCAGAGAGCTGTGAGTAGGAACATGCTGTAACTTCACAAGAAAACCCTTATTTCTCTAGCCAGAAAAACCTTCCAGCCTTTCTCCTGCAGTAGATTTAGACCTCTTTCACAGTGATTAAATGAAAAGGGACGCAGGTGAACCTGTGTTAAGACAGTTGGCTACATCAGTCCTTTGCTTTTGTGGGAGTGATTTGAAGACTGATATAAAATACATAAACTAGGCTCAAAGTATAGTTAAAAATTAAGCAGCTTGGAAAGCAAAATATGAATTATTCTGCTGTGTGCCTGGTAAAAGCTACACAGCCTTTCATATTGCAAAATACAAACCCTTCTCAGATAGCAAATGACTCAAGGTGGGAAACAGAGAACAAATTACCTTTACACTAAATAGTGGTTTATGGTCATTGTAGGCTACAACTTGTCTGTTATCCTATTTTAGTTTATCAGTACTAATTCTCTTTGCTGAGTGTAACTTGCTCATTTGTCTGGTGCACAAGTTACATTGTAAGTCAGCATAGTAACTTTGAGAACTTGTTCTGACTCAGCTGCAGGAACCTAGCGAAACAGTTCAGGTTGGGTTTTTTTGGTTTTGTTTGTTGTTTTTTTTTTAAATCTTGGGAGAAACCCTATCAAAATGCCTCAAAAGGCAATGGTGGAATATAAAAGCCCTGTGACGTAATGGTCTCTCTGCAGAGATTCTGTACTTGCTAGGTATTATTTGGGTCCTAAAAACGATAATATAAAGATGTTTTACAATTGATGCCACAGTCAGTTTGAGAGCGAGCAGTCATTTCTGAACTCCTACTGTGTTGCAGCTTATTGCAGTGACTGTCTAACGTAATATACTTAAGCAATTCAAGTAGAACTAAGTGTTTCTTTCCTCCTCGTTATATGCACACCTATCCAAACGATGAGGCTGCACTGGCCTCCTCCACCCCCTAGCCCTTCTGCAGTGACAGAACGTGCCTGTCTAGAGCTGCTCGTGGTGCGGCTGGGCATTCCCTTCTCCTGCTTCCTAATACAGAGAGCAAAACTGAACACTGTGGGACCTTTATGTGTGACATCCCACTTGCTAAAGTGGGACCCATCTTGCCTTGTGGTGGTGTTCTGAAAAGAGCCAGCCCTGATGGTCTAGGCGAGGATGCTGAGCAGCTCCGAGTTAAGGCATTTGTGGGGAGGACATGAGACACACTAAGCTCAATGTTACCAATTTGCTTTCAGCTTGGAGCTGCCTGGAATGGTTCCACACATGTAGCGCTTCCCTGTTCTTCAACCGATGGTCTCCAGCGACATTCTGGATTCCACTCACAGCATGCATCTAGCATGGACCAGACTGTATCTTGGTCCTTCCCTGCAGAGCTCAGTGGCAGCTAAATAAAGAAGGGCCGAACATGTAGGAACCTAACCTTTGGCCTGTTCAAGTACTGAGCCAGCATGATCTGTAAAGTACCCATACCAGCTTCCAAGAAGTGACAGTGCTACTGCAGTAACAAGCGTATTTCAGTATTTTCCACTTTTTCTGCAGGTAAGCAAAATTACTTTAGTCTATCAAAGAGTTAGGAAAAAGTAACAATCATAAAACCATAGTGAGGTGTAAACCCACGTGACACACTTTTAGTAGGGGAAATAAGTGCCTTCTTTTTGCTGGAAGCATCTGTGTTCCTAAAGTAGCATCTTCCCACCATCCAGAGAATTTAACCTTTGGAATTAAAAGAGGAACAGGAGCCAAGGCTTTGTGTCATCATAAATGTAAACTAAATCCCGCCATTCAGTTTCAGTGTAATTAGAAGGACAGAGGATGCAAACGAAATGAAGCAACTTTAGTTATGCTGTAAGAAAAACAGAAGTCCCCCCTTGTCTGAGAATTCAAGGGAAGATTTTGAGAAACCCATCCTAGACAGCAGACAGACACAGGGTAAAAAGTTTGGTCCATGAATCATGCCGCTTTTTGTCTTCTTGGGCAAATACTGCAACTTCACCGCAATTATGTTAATGTCTGCTAACTGCCTACACTCAGGAAGGTATTTTGGTGTGCAACTGAAGTGAGAGTGATTTGTAAGCAGTGCAAATATGATACCTGAGACCAGAGAG